TTGTGTTTGAGGATATTTTTTGGGAAGTTGTTTGTGGGGGGGGGGGGGAGGGAGGAGGGGGAGTGTTGCTTTTTCTTTTGGGAAAGGGTTTTTTCATCTTCTACTCTCCTGTTCAGAGGATAAATACTACTTACAGTCTGCGTAGGTCACTCTGGCAATTCTGGGAGGTGATACAAGTTATTTCTTTTATAAGTAAAATATACTGGAGAAGTAACGGGGAAGGATTACCTTGGTTTCCTGATTTCCTGATATCTAAAATTAGTTGATTGTGACGTGAAGGAAAATATATGTACAAATCTTCTTTTGAATACTTACAAAAAGAACTAGTTGTTCTGATCTGTAGAGTACTCCTTCCCCCGTGACATATCTGTGGTTGTAATTTTGGGGAGCAGGCCTTTGGCTCGAACTGCTGCACCCTGTACATTTATAGCAGTTTTATAGTAAAGCTTTTGAAGGAATAATGTACATACAGTAAGTAAGGAGAGGAATAGGTGGAGAGAGATGGTTGAAAGTCTTTGAGAGCAACATATTGAACCAGGCAGGGGTGGGCTGTTGCCTCCCCCTCTGGTTGGGAGCTGTTGGGAAGCCACCCTGCCGAGCTGGCCTGACCTCGGGAGGTTTGGTGGCTCCGTCTCATCCCTGGCTGGACTCTTGCCCTCTTGCCTCAGTCATGTTTTCCAGACTTGTAGTGAAGGGGATAATAGGCACCAGTCTGTAGCTTTTGGAAGAAAATGCCAGAGACAAAAAACCCCCCACCAAACCAAACCAAACCAAAACGTATGCCCATTATCTGTTCTTTAGCATGGTAGCTTCCGCCAGCTGCGCTTGTGACGTGGGAGCTGAAGGTACGGTGGAAGCATGAAGTCGTGTGTTATTTGGAGAAGGAAATGGTAGTGGCAGGATTAAAACGCTGACAACAAAACTCTCTCCGTTTCTGACCCTTTTACCTCCTATGGTTATGCTCTAACTGGAGACAAACCGTTCTTCCTTTCTCTTTCCTAAAGTAAGATCCCAACTCCCTGAACTTGGTAGCATGAATGTAGCATTGTGGTACTGTTGAAAATCTTATTTAACTCCGAAAGGGCCCGTTTATGTATCCACTTCAGTGATTTCTCTGTAGAGCTATTGTATATCTATCCTCATTGACCACTTGTAGAAGTAGGGGTGCGAAGTAGAAAGGTAGATTGTACAGTTGCATAACTTCTGTAGGAAGACGTGTGTTTGGATGAACATTACGGACTGTTTTACTGGTGCAGTTGACTGTAGTATAGTATAATGACAAACGATGAATGCATTTTTCTCTTTTCCAAAGATCTATATTCCTTGTAGTTTGTGATGTTTATGACATGAGCATATTATTTCCTTAATAGCATTCATTTGACTAAAGAGATGAAATAGTCTAAAAGCTGTGACTGGAAAGACAATAGAGTTTTGATGTTTAAAGTCCTTTGTGCAAATAGCGTCATTGAAGTTAACCATTTGTGAAAGAGGAAAACAAATTTCTTCCCCTTTTTAACTGGTTGAATTTTTCAAGTGGCTGCTGGGAAAGGAAGGGACCAGCAGAGGATAGGATGATTAAAAAAAAAAAAAAAAATTTTGTAATTATTTAAACTTTAGAGCTAAAAATAGAGCCTGTACCTTCCCCAGCTCCCCCAGCCTGTAAAGGATGACCCCCGGGCGTGCGCTCGCTGCCAGCGCGCAGCACGGTCACAGCCGGGACGTCCCTTCCGCAGAGGGGATGATGCCTCTGCGGCATCTTCTCCGGGGCACGCTGAGGACAGGCCGGGGCAGTGCCTCGGGGCGGGGCCCGCCCGCAGGGCGCTCTGCCCGGGGGAGCCGTGGCTGCTGAGTACACCCGACAATTTGTCGTTCCTCTTCTACCCGCTTCTTCCAGCCTTCAGCCACCTGCTCTTGGGGCGAGTCTGTCTGAAGCTCTGAAACCAGTTTGCTCGGGCACAGTCGGTACTTGCCGTCTGCGCTGGCGCGGTGGAGCTCGCCTCTGATGAGGGTGGCCCGAGCCAGCAGCTCACGGGGCGGCTGAGCCTGCGCTGCTAGAGGATCAGCAGCCCTGTCGCACCGTTACGCTCGGCCCCACCGCGGGGAACTGCTGCCGCAGCTCCTGTGCCGTCTGGATTTGCTTTTTAGCAAGGGCAGGAGAAACGGGGACACCCGGTTAACCCTGGAGAGACTCAGATTAAACTGGAATAGCTAAATTGGGTGCCAACCCGTGCTGTTCACCCCAGCCACGTGTGGGAGTTTCTGCTGCTCATGCTACGAGGTAGTACTGGATGTGACCTCCACCTCCCTGCCTGACCTGAGGCATGCCGGCGGAGTCTGCTGGTTGCATTATGGCCTGGGCTGGGACCGTCACCTCTAGCAGAGGAGAAGGGTGGGCAGCGAGTGCATCCGCTGTCCAGTCTGCCGCTCCTCCGCTTGGCTCACGTGCTGGGAGCAGCCCCCGACCATATTCTCTGGTGCCTGCAGAGAATATTCACTCGGCTGCAGAGGCTTGGCTGGGGTCGTCGTCTTGGATGTGGCACTTATGCAGCGTTTTGCAGAGAGGCTTTTCTCTTTTCCTGTTGCTTGGCTGGGAAGGCAAGGGAAGGGAAGAAGACAATTCAAGTTACCTGAGGGATGCAGAAATAGGTAGAAAATTGAAATAAAGCTTTTTGTACCTGTCCTCATGCTGCAGCCACCAACTTCCCTTTGCAGCTCACCTCCAGGCCTGGGATGGGGAACGGATCAGTTAGCAGGTAAGCCTTTCCTGCATTAAAAAAAAAACAAACAAAAAAACCCACCAAAACCAGAAAAATCCTTGTAGCTCAAGCAAAACATCTCTGACTGCAAAAGGCAACCAGCCAACTCATCCTGCCCGTGCAAGGACTCCGCTGTGTGCACCCGCGGGATCCCACCCGTTTCTGCCTCCCAGTGCCTCCAGCGGTGCCTGAGCCTCGGCCCACAGCTCCGCTCTGCCTCTGCGGAGGGGACTCTGGAAGTGAGTTTGTTCTTTGTTTCTCAGCCTGGACTTGTTGCCCGGGGCTCAGCACAGGTTTCCGGCTCCAGGTGCTTCTGGACTTCACATATATGTGTGTTCACATTGCCTCTTCACACCCGGGCTCTTTCCTGTGGTCTGGGGGAGATACTCCCCCTCGATTGCCCCCACTTATTTTGCCATGTGCGGTAAAGCGTGAGGCAGAGTTATCGCTGTCATCCATGCTGTGTTAGCATCTCTCCGGCTCCTGGCACGCATCCATTTCACGAATAGCTGCTGTTGTTTCGGGACGTGACTGCGTTGGCGACCTGTGGCTGGGAGTTCCTGTTCCCAAGGCTCTGCTGGCAGAGACTGCAAACGCTGCTTCGTCACCTTCAGGCGACATAAGTGGGGTTAGTTGAAAGAATGGAAAATGCTCATTTTTAAATAGCCAGCCTGGCAGGATCTGGAAATGGGAGTGTGTCCTTAATCCCGGCCCAGACAGGAGTGGAACGACAGGCTCGCTCTGCTCTCTTGGTATAAGTGTAAACCTTCAACTGATCAAAACCCAGTTTGAGAGTCACACATACATTATTTATGCATTGGTCCAGGATAAGGTATGTTACTGTATGATTAAAAAAATCCTTCCTTGGCAATTGGCATGTGTCGCCGGAACCATGCATCAGAGGACGTGCTGGGTTGTGTCATCCTTCCTCGAGCGATCGGGCCACTCGGCCAATACACGGGTTTGCAGGTACACGTAAGGCTGAATCACTCTGTACTCTGGGTTTTGCTGCAACAGTCCCTGGAGCTGACGATGCAGACAGCCCTTCCTGAAGGGTGCCACGCAGATACCCTCCCAAGGCACGTGGAGCGGCAATATCATTTTCCGCGCCATCTGTGAAAAGTTGTTTGTGATCCTGTATTTTGTCCCACTGGTCACAGTGTATCCATGGTTTTCTGCATCTTCCATGGGAGTGTTTTTTAATTCTCAGTGGTGGAAACATGCTAAGCCAAAGTCAACTGGAAACTGTTACGGTCTTGATAACAAGTCAGCCTGCTAATAATATCGTATTCTTGAGCTGAGTGAGTAAATGGGTGGTTTAATGACCGTGAACCTGATTGTGACCATTGTTAGTCCCAGGTGGTCCTGCTGTGTACTTGGCAGAATGAATAGTAAGATACCAGAGTTTGCCGTCTCTGCCTAAAATGCCAGCGCGCAATCTCTTGCCGAGGTTGTGCGTGAGCTATCGAAGAGCGATAGGAACCAGTAGCTGCTTTGATTCAGAAATAAATTCAGCTCAACATACTGCCAATCAGTGTGGAAAAACTTAAAGACTGGA